TTGCTACCTTGACAATGCAGCCTGTTCATTATCATAATAAAATACAGTCAGTCAAACATATGGAAAAAAACACACTGCTCAGTTCAAATATGTAGTAAAGTCTGTGCCATTAAGTGTTATCACCGTACCGCCGTGATGTTATGCTAAACATTTTGCTTTACGTGGATATGGAACGCGAGTGAAGTAGGCTACATAAATAATAATTTGGCATTCAAATACATCGCGAATACGGAAACATTTGATTCTGTGTCGAATGAGAGCCCCAACGTTGGTTTCAGTTTTGCTTTAGCCTAAATTATTTCGTTTTGGCTTGTCGTTTATATTGCTATAGCTTCTTATATTTTTAATTCTTGTTATTTTCTAAATACTGTTAATTGAAAGGCTTTGTTGTGGAGTGAGGGGAACTAAAATAGCCTAGCTATGTTTACGATGTTTATTATAATGTTTGTAAACATTTCGCGTCGGCATTAGGCCTATTTCTGAATGAAATAATAAAATGCGACTTATAAGCGACTTATGGTTTTTTTCTCTAAAAAAACAAACAAAAAAATGTATACGCGTAGCATATTTTAACCATGCAGCAAACCTTTTTAAATATTTTAATAAATTACTGAAAAAATAAATAAATACTTTTTTATTACTTTACTTACTTTACTTTTTTACCGTTTAACTGATTGTATTAATCGGTCAAAATTCTTACGGTCGGTTAACGGTTAACCGGTTAAAATGAACATCCCTACTTTAGTGTGTTTGCAGGAGTATACAAACTTTGTAGACCACCAATGAGATTGAAACCCTCACAGACTAAATGGAAAGCCGCAATTAATAAAATGCAGCTGTATAAGTGCACTATATAACCTCTTTTATTCGATTCTCTATCATCATGCAAATACAAAAGGTGATTTCCATTAGTGCGCTCCACTTGATTATTGAACCACAGTTTATGATCAGATTTTCAGCATGCATGTTTGCCCTGTTAGTATAAAAATGCTAAATAAGTAGAGGGCCCATAAATAGAAAGTGTTTCTTGTGAGTTCTGATAAGCATGGTGATCGTGTCAGGTGCAGCATTGGTGACGGTGTGTGTGTTCGTCCACTAGATGTGGAGGAGTGTCAGCTGTCTGAATGTGAGATGGGGGATGGAGACAGTCCTCTGCCCCGCAGCAGTAGCACCTCTGACATCACACAGCAGATCACTGACACCTTCCCAGGTACCCACACAATCACACACATTACACACACTCATAGACTCATGACTGTAGGGCTTTAGAAATGAATGTTTTTCGTGAAGAGTACTTTTTGCATACAGTAGAGTATGTGTTTAAAATGATGTAGAATCACATGAATCTCCACATGAAACCAAAACAGCATGTTGTATTTGCAGTGTATTTACAATTTGTTTATTTCTATTTGAGTTGCACTACTAATACTCATCATATGCTTGGAGACACTATGAGACAATTATCTGTAAATATGTTTGACACCAACATATATTATTCATCAATATTTGTCTGATTTGCTGAAAATACAGAATTGAGTTAGACACAGACGTCACTCATAACATACTGTACATCTACAGTTTTTGACTGTTATGATATTGTGTGTTGTGGTAGTTGTTTTTGTGATTTAGTATAGTGATTCTATTCATTTGAATTATTATAGGTAGATACCCTCAAAAATAATGTACTTGTTTAAATCTACTGGTGAAATCAGATGTTAGGAGGACTACTAAATATCTGCCCCAGTACATTATTAGACTAACTCTATATATAAAATGAAGAGCTGCATTTTTTTTTTCTCTCCTTTGACCAAATTGAACAAAATGAAGTATGTTTATCATTGGCTTAAAACCTGGAACTAAAAACTTTTTTATTGTTATCACTAAGACAGTATAACTATTGTAATGCGACTGCACTATAAAACAAATGTAAATGTAAAAATGATTATTTTGTGACAAGTATATAAATTCACTTTCAAGAGCTTTTGTTTGTGTGTACAACTGCAGTTTCTATGAAAGCAGGTTTACAAATTGCTTTGAAATGCAGATAGACTGTATGCCTATTTAAATCAATCTCAGCCTTCTGCAAATTGCACTGAGCCATATTGCGATGCTTTGCCAAAGCAGTGGCGCAAAGCACTATGTATTTGTGAACTTTTGTATTGAGAAGGGAGGGACAGATAAGACTGTGGAGGGATTGTTATTAGTGATACTGATGTTTATTCATAGTACTTAGCAAAAAGATGCCATTAAACAAATAACATGAACATATATGCAGTGGATTGTTTGCACAGTTGTCGTATTAGCAACATAAACTAAGAATTAGTCTGCTGTAGACTTGCTTGAAGGAATTTGCTTGAAAGTCATAGGTAGCATGATTTCTGATATGTGGGCTACTGGTATGAAACACAGGTCAGAAGAGAAATGAGTCTGTGTCAGAGAGCAGCTCTACAAGGAAAAGAGAGAGCGATGCACCCACGGTCAGTAACATTGCATTGCCTTTGATTCAGTAAATGATTCTTCACATGCTAATTGTATTGGAGTTTTGTGGATATTCTCAGATTCTGATCCGGCGGAGCAGCAGTCCAGCAGATCTGGATTATCCAGCAGACGGAGCTCCAGCATTCCTGAAGATTAAACTGCGGGAGAAAAGTGAGCTCTGTCCAACGATCACTCCTGGCATCTTTCACTATTTTTTTTTACAGAAATATTGTTCATCTTTCTTTCTTGTATTCTTTTTTGCCTATCAATCAAAAGATATCTATCTATATATCATCTATGTATCCATCTATCCCCCGAATAAGAGCCCCCAAAATGTTGTAACTGGCCATTTAGAATCAAGCATTTCAGAGAGCCGTGTAATAAATATTAATGTCAGTATAACCTCTCCTCTGTCAGGTGAGAGTGTGAGCAGTGAGACGTCTAATGGTTATCTGAACGATGCTGAGGTGGGTCTGCTGGCGTGGCATGCGGTTGAGGAGGAGCCGGACTCTCCCTCTACACATGACATGAGCATGAGCGCTACCGTGGATACAGTGAGCCAGAGGAGCCTCCTGCTCAGCCACACTGAAGCACTGGCAGGTACCAGAACTCAGCACAGATCATCCCCTCTGAACCTTGATCCTACCCAGCACTCATGTGTCTCATCTGTGTCAACCCACAGCAGTAGCTGTCACACCACTCTGTGAAAGTTGTCTTGTTCTTGATGTTCTTGTTGTTCTTGCCCACTACTCTGATCTCAGTATTTATAATGAAGATAATAGCAGAACGGCATATGATGAAAGGAATAGTCCGGGGCTAAATACAGCAGCATCTGTGGGATTCTGTCAGTGATTGCCAGTTTGAAAAAATGCAACACACTTGCACTGGAAGTCTGTAAGGTGATTGTACAGCACCAGAATAAACATTACAAATAGACAATTCATCACACTTTATTGAAACTTAAACATTATACATATTAGCATGAGATTAATGTGAATGGTTTATAAATGTACATTTTTCTATGGCTAACTACGATGATTAGAGAGTGGGTTGGCTGATGGCAGATAAAACACCTTATATACATGTCATATAGGCACATAAAAGATAAATAAAAAAAATTGTGCACAGTATTTGTTACCAGTTTATTATCCATAGACTAGGTTACCACCAGTGCTGTCAGTAGATGAATTTAACCCAGAACATTCCTTTAAATCAGTGGTTCTCAACCAGGAGCCCGAGGCCCACTAATGTCCAAGGGGAGTCAGGGTGATACAAATAATGTAAAAAAGGAAAAGGGTATCATGAAAATAAGCTAAAACAACAACAACAAAATGAAGCTAGTTCTTATTTTAATTCATCCTGTCAGCAACTTTTAATTTCCAGTGCCTTGGAAAACCTGGATATAGTGACATTTTTTTAGACATTTTTTATAATGACTATACATTCATTGGATTAAAATTGTGTGTAGAAAAAAAATCTTACGTTTATAAGATACATGACTGTGGGAGACAGTAATAATATTTTTTGTATGCATTTTTACATTTTATTATTTTTTATGTTGAATTTATGATTTAAAAAAGAGACCGCAGAGTGTGACGTTATATCATGACCCGTTGCAGTGTCCAAAGAAATATTGCATGATTGAAGTTTAGTGTGACCGCCGCTTTATTTAGTAAATCACAAACGATTGTAAAAGGCATGTAAATTCAGTGGTTAAAAAGAGCCAAAGCCTTGAAGCACATTCGAAATGCCTGTAATCCTGAAGTTTATTTTCAGAGAAGTGTCGGGCCTTTGAGTAAGGTGGAGAAGCACTGCTTTAAATCATCCTAGCATCTGCTACTGATTATTCGATGATTATATCAGGATCAGCTGTTGTGCCTAGTGTGTCTTAAGTGTGTTTGATTTCCCTGTTTGTGTGAAATGTGATTCCACCACCCTTCCATCCATCACTGTGTTGTTGTGTAGGGTCAGATTGTGCCGCCCCTCCTCACTGTCCCCCAGTGTCTCCGGCTCTCCTCGTTCCTCATGGCTGCTGTGAGGGCCCTCAGCTCCTGGAGGATGCCATGAATGTGCCTCACCATCTGGGTATTGCACTCATCCTCTCAACCTCCCTCAGACCAAACTCATTTTGTGTACTTCACTCTGCCTCCATCCATCGAAGGAAACATGTTTCCAAACCTTCACATAGGCAGCCTTCTTCTAAGACAACATTTTAACCAAAATGAAACCTCATAAATAACTCATTTGAAATGCTCTTCATGGACAGGAACATGGCGTTATCACTAGGTTTAGTAGTATGTGGCTTTATTTTTTTATTATTGGCATTGTCTGATTTCTGTTTGGCCGATGTGTCAGAAGTGGGACTTTTATTTTGACTGTGTCTAGGAGCTCCCATTCCCATCTTCATCAGCTTGCTGTCTCTGTGTAACAGTTCTGTCTTATTCATTCTTAGACAGAACTTAGAACAAAGTAAACGGTATACAAAAAAGTTTACAATTGTTATATATGTGTGTTTTTCCTTTAAATTAAATTGTATGATTGTGTGATATCATTTGGGTCTTGAATCGGAGCAGAAAATCCTAAATTCATAAAGTCATGGCATTAAATGGTGCATATACTGCAACATTTAGTAGCAACTAAACAACTTTAAATCAAGGTACATTTCCTAGATATGCAAACTGAAGATATTAAGTGAGTTTATGCTTAAAACAAGAACAAATATCTGTCAATGGAGTATAAAACTTTTATTTTTTATTTTTTATTTGAGCCCAGTGGCAAATATTTGTTCATGTTTTAATCATAATCTCACTTCATTTTTATCATTTTCTCATGAAACAAGTGTTTCTCAAGTGCATGTATCTTGATTTAAGAATCTTTAGACATTTGAACTAAAAAAACAAGACATAAAAACCCAAAGGAAGAGCTTTTTGCAATGTGATCAGAAGGTACAATAAAAGTTATTTCCATATTCTAGTGTTTTACTTAGTGTTTTATGAGATTTTATGGCTCATATAGTATGATAGAGTGAGATTGTGGAGCTCATACGTCAGCAGGCAAGTACTTCAGACACAAACTGAGCAGAATTATGCAGTTTGTTGCAGATGATGATATTAATATGAGCAAAAAGTAAGATGAAATTCTGCTTGTAATGTAAATCGATGAGATCTATATAGCAGTATAGCTTACATAAAACAATATAAATATCAGTCATCAGTATATATCTCTAATAATATGTCTTAGTAAGAGGATATTTAAATGCTTAGTTGTATGTTCAAAACACATAATGCAATGCAATACAATGATGATTGAGAGATGAACAAATTAACTTTCATCGAAAGCCTGAGGATCAGAATTGAGACTCACATTTGAACAAGATTTTTTCTAAAAAATAAAAATAAAAATGATGTATGGATAATCAAGCACCATTTATTTCTTATCCAAGTGCACCTTGCATAGAAAGACATTCTTCTTAAAAGTTCAGTTTTTACTTCCTGTGATGTACTCACTCTGTGTGTCTGCTCTTCCTTCCAGACAGCAGTGAGTTTCTGGCTGATGACATCAGCATCATCGCCGGCGGCAGTTTGACCGGTTGGCACGCCGACTCGGCCTTCGTTCTCTGGAGGAGGATCTTGGGGATTCTGGGTGATGTGAACAGCATCCGCTGTGCCCGCATCCACGCCAAGGTCTTCAGTTACCTCTACGAGCTCTGGCACAAGCTGGCCAAGGTAGGTTCCCTCCATTCCCTGCAAAGCCTGGTTCACAGTTACCTTAGAAACTAAATGATGACAAACTCTTTCATAAACTCCTGTTTCAGATCAGAGATAATCTTGGGATCAGAGTGGATGCAGACACAGCCGTGGCCAGACCCTTGTTCATCCCTCCTCTGCGCATGCTGGCCTCCTGGCTTTTCAAGGTAACAAGATGTAAATTAGAACAGAATGATATAACTGTAACGATAACAATACAGATATAGCTTTAATAATCATTCTAAATGTAAAAGAACAGCCACAGAGTGGAGTCCACACCACAACTATAACGATAATGAAATAGAGGAACTTCATATTTGGAATCACTTTCAGAATGATTTTTTCCAGCTGATGATTGATCAATAAAGTATTTAAAGTGGCAGATGACAGAACTGCAATAGAACGTTACCACGCACTGGTGAGATTGCTAATATAGTTCTCTTTATGGTTATCATTCTTGGTGTGAACAGGCCTTTATTGGGAATTCATCTGTATTAAATAAGCACAGCGTGTAGGAGAGAAGCAAACAGATGTAAAGTACTAGGTGGAATGCAGATATAGCCCAGTGATGTCATGAAAATGCTAATTTGGGCATGCTTTACTGTATTTACTCTGGAGCTGTTGTGTTGAATCGGAATAGGCAGATTGAATACTGAATGACTTATGATGTGTGTGTTCAGGCTACCATGCTGCCGGCAGAGTTCAAGGCTGGGAAGCTCCAGGCGTATAAGCTGATCTGTGAGATGATGACCAAACATCAGGACGTGCTGCCCAACAGTGACTTCCTGGTGCATCTCTACCACGTCATGCACAAAGGCTTCACCAGTGACGATCAGGTAACAGCTGATTCTGCATGCATGTTTTATTAAACCTGCTTGTGTTCTGTTCTTGGTTTTACACTTCTGTTTGGCACATTATCGATTATAAGCATATATGTGCGTATACATATATACATACACACCAGGAAGGGACATGGCATAGGAGTTGTGGAAGCTCCAGAGGAATTCATAAATCATACTCGTCAAGAAAAAGTACATCCACCAATAAAGAGGGGTTTTAGACAGACTCAATAACGAAGCTGTTGTTAGAATTTAATTGAAAATGCATTGCTGTATTGTTTTTCATTCTCTTATCTTTTATTTTAAGAAATTAATTTGACGGTGTGCCACAAATTCTGTCTGTAGAACTTAGGCCTAACCAGAAAAATCCATTTAAAAAGATGTTTTTTTTTTTTCATGCAGTTGTCCACTAGATGGTGCAACAGTCTTTTAAATAAGCACAGCGTGTAGGAGAGAAGCAAACAGATGTAAAGTACTAGGTGGAATGCAGATATAGCCCAGTGATGTCATGAAAATGCTAATTTGGGCATGCTTTACTGTATTTACTCTGGAGCTGTTGTGTTGAATCGGAATAGGCAGATTGAATACTGAATGACTTATGATGTGTGTGTTCAGGCTACCATGCTGCCGGCAGAGTTCAAGGCTGGGAAGCTCCAGGCGTATAAGCTGATCTGTGAGATGATGACCAAACATCAGGACGTGCTGCCCAACAGTGACTTCCTGGTGCATCTCTACCACGTCATGCACAAAGGCTTCACCAGTGACGATCAGGTAACAGCTGATTCTGCATGCATGTTTTATTAAACCTGCTTGTGTTCTGTTCTTGGTTTTACACTTCTGTTTGGCACATTATCGATTATAAGCATATATGTGCGTATACATATATACATACACACCAGGAAGGGACATGGCATAGGAGTTGTGGAAGCTCCAGAGGAATTCATAAATCATACTCGTCAAGAAAAAGTACATCCACCAATAAAGAGGGGTTTTAGACAGACTCAATAACGAAGCTGTTGTTAGAATTTAATTGAAAATGCATTGCTGTATTGTTTTTCATTCTCTTATCTTTTATTTTAAGAAATTAATTTGACGGTGTGCCACAAATTCTGTCTGTAGAACTTAGGCCTAAGTATTTAACCTGAAAAATCCATTTAAAAAGATGTTTTTTTTAAATCATGCAGTTGACCACTAGATGGTGCAACAGTCTTTCATTCTTGTGAATGCAGTAAAGGCTCACTAAAGCGGCCTGATTCTGTATGTGATAATATGCTTCTCTCATAAACATTCACAAAGAATCATTATTGAATAATCAAAAGAGTGTTAGACTGATCTGATTTTGACTAATATACATTCAACTTTTTTTTCTTTAGGTTTTATCCCTAAACAGGTTTTGTTTGTTTTTGGTTTTGATGATAATGCATGTTCAGATCTCCAGTGGTGTGTGTGCTGGCACTGCGCTGCGTACGCTGCGAAGAGTGCCACACTCTTCATTTCGGTTTCTTTTTATTTGGTCAAAAAAATAAGAGCTCCCTGAATGTTGAGCTGCAATGGAGATTGGACAGGAAAGGCAGCGAAAGTGCTTTTGGCCACTGTTGTGGATCTGCACACTAGGGCTGGGTCAAAAATATCGATATCTCAATATTAATCGATTCTCATTTTTATGGAACGATATCGATTCTTAAATCCCAAGAATCGATTAGTCTAGCCTGTTTTCAGTTAATGGACGGAACATTGAAGGGTACTTCCCATCCAATAAATCGCAATAAGCGTTGTGCTTTGGTACTGTTAATATGAAACAAAGTCTCAGATTTCAAATGTTGTCCATTGTATTGCAGTATTCAAACAATAAATACCGTTTTGGCGCTGTTTAATGTGGAGTGACAGATCGCTGTAGCGCCTCAGTTCAACAGACGCAGCAGCGCGAGGCGCACGTGAACCGATCTCCTCCACATTAATACCAGTTTCAGCACAAAATAAACATGACTAAACATTCAAAGGTAAGTTAAAAGAAAGAGTACACCTTTACAATCCGTATCTTGTATCAAGTAATCGCTTGTACGCAACGGTCGCCGTGTTGTCCGTTCGGACCAGCATGTGCTTGCCTCGTAAGCGCCCTTTGAGACAGTTCAAGGCAAGGCATACTGCTAACAACTCTAGGCAGTTGATGTGCCAGTGCAGTTGGGGACCCGTCCAAACCCCGACACTGCATGTCTGTCGTGCGTGGCCACCGAGCCGGTGGTAGAGGAATCCGTGTAAACCACTGCATGGCTGGAGACCTGTTCTAGGGGCACTCCTGCCTGGAGAAACGCAAGGTCTGACCACGGGGCGAAGGTTTGGCGGCAGGCCGGTGTGTCTAATACCCGGTGAGTGCCGCATTGCCACGCCCAACTCGGGACTCGCCCATGAAGCCAGTGTTGAAGCGGTCTCATATGAAGCAGCCCCAGTGGCGTGACTGCCGCTGCAGCTGCCATAAGCCCCAGGAGCCTCTGAAACTGTTTCAGTGGGACCGCTGTCCTGCTCTTGAACATATCCAGGCAGGTCAACACCGACTGAGCACATTCCTGCGTAAGGCGTGCTGTCTATTCGACCGAATCCAACTCCATACCGAGAAAAGAGATCCTCTGCGTCGGGGAGAGTTTGCTCTTATCCCAGTTGACCCGAAGGCCCAACTGGCTGAGGTGCGCGAGTACCAAGTCCCTGTGTTCGCACAACTGCGAACTCTACTTCTACTACTTCTACTTACCTGCGTGAATCGCCATAGACATAAACTTAGAGAAGTAGGTCCGGTTGGAATTTTCTTCCCCGGGATGTGTGCAGTTCTGTTTATTGACCGCTAGAGCAGCAAAAGTTACATAGTGCTGCTTTAAAGCTGTGGTTATTTTAAGGGTTTCCTTCGTACATTCGGTTTTTTAACATTGTTAAAACACATTTCTCATTCAATGGAACTGTGCGTATGCTTTAGACACTTACATTTTTGCTCCGTCCATGCAATAAATGCGCAGCCTTCGATTGCTCAGATAATGTCGTCGGTATGACCGAGAGCCATTAAAAAACTACAGAAAAGCAAAACTACTTCACTTTAGCGTTACTGGCCACGAGTACTAAGGAGAGATCAGATCACACATCAGCTGCTCAAAAAATTTGTCTGTTCTGCTCCAAGTTTGTCACTTGTATAGGTTTGGCGCCATCTAGTGGCAGTTCTACGCCAAGTGAGTTCAGAGTAGAGCACATTTCTCATCCAGTCAGTTTCTCCTCGATTTTTGGATGCCATCCTTTGTTTTTTGTCTGTAAAAGCATCATCTGTAAGTTAATTATTCATTACATAATGCTTGATTATATATATTTGCACATATTTGTGATAAATTCTTTCGAAACTTTGATTTGATGTAATTTTAGTAATGGCCTCTAGCTGTTAGCTTAGCTTTTATTTGATATGGCACTCAATGTGTTGATTTCATTCTACTTTGATAAGACGATTTCTCTATACGAGTCAATATTTGAATTTGTTGCTATTTTTGGTTATCTGGTAATCTCATTTAAGTAAATTGATTACATCGATAACATTTGAGCCTTTTTTCAGATATAAGTCTCAGAGCTGCTTGTATGCATATTCTTTGGTTGTTGTTGTGTAATTATTCTGATTATTGTTTGTTTACTGTTTTTTACAGTTTTACTCCTAATTCATAATGTACATCTCAATGGCATCTTATTAAAATGACGAAGACTAAGATGAATCCTGACTCATCTGTACTTTATGGATGGAGTTTGGCTGACTGTTAAATTGCATTCGTACATGCGAGAAGAACAGTACAGTAATGTAGTACCAACTGACTCTCTTACAGCATTTACAGCATTAGTTGAGAGATTTTTTTTCCTTGAGAAAATTTGGCATGTACTGTACCTGATAAATAATCGAAACAGATTATATTTGTGTCACTGTTGGCTTGAAGTCTCATTCAAATCCACATAGGAACAGATTTGAAGGCCAGATGGAGTTCAGAAACAACATGATCGGTAGTGTAGAAGTGCATCACTTCTGCTGTTGTTTTACCACTCACTTGATGGAGCTGTTAAAGTTAAAGGGCACCTATTATGCAAAATCCACTTTTACATGGTGTTTGGACAGAAATATGTGTTGGCGGTTTGTGAACGCAAACACCCTACAATGATAAAAATCCACCCACTTATTTTTTGATCCCCATTAAACCAAATCAGTCTCATCAGACGTGCCGTTTTGATTCTCTGAGCAGTGTGATGTCACATTGTTTAGGCCACGGCCACTGACTGACAGTCCTGCATAGGGGTGCTCCAATCAGGATTTTTGAGGCCGATCACAGAAAGCAGTATCTGCCGATCCGATCACCGATACCGATCTTTTTAAATCCCTATTTTTATCATGTAGAATTATTTATTATTTATTCAGGGGCTGGATTTCATTTTTGAAAATTAATTCCTATCTTAGGTGACTCTTGTAAGAGGATTTATTTTTTTTCATTTGAGGGGTGGAGGGGGGGGACAGTCTGGACAGAGACTGAGACGGTGCCACTGCATGTCGAGCCAAACCTCTCACGGCAGCGTCATCAGCTTGAGATCAGTTTTATGAGATCTGCCTTTTTAGAGACCGCCGATCAATCATCCCAAAGCGATTATCGGCCGATAGTGATCGGTAGCCGATCAGTCGGAGCACCCCTAGTCCTGCATTACCATAGTTTCCGCTCTCAGCGAGTTGTGTTTGGTTGTATGCGCTTGAGCAGCTGTAACGTCAACAATGCCTCAAAAACAATTGTGGTGTTCTGTGTTTGGATGTAAGACTGAACCTAAGAGTCTCCCAACATCTGAGCCACTGAAGACGCAGTGGATTACTTTTATTTCTGAAGGTAATGCGCCTCAAAATCATGTCGTTATAGTGCTTAACTAACGTTTTAACCGTATTTGTGTGCGTGTCATTTTGGTAAAGCGCATAGTGAACGTTATCGAAGTATTTGTGTGAATGTGTGTTGCTCATCCGTCGTTGCAAATGAGCTGTGGAAACTCTACAAGTACATAAATGTATCAAATAACCATTCAGAGACGTCTTGGTTCATTCTCATAGGTGTTTCTTCTGCTGGAGTCTCTCTGTGTCTGACTCCGGTTCATACATGTACAGCTGAACATCGGTTCTCTCGCTCTCAGAGCTACCGGCTGTTTATTGCTGTAGGTATGCAAAGCAGAGATGTATACACCACGCCCTCTTCTGAAGACGGGGCAGGAATATGCAGCTCATTTGCATTTAAAGTGATACACACCAAAACAGCTCTTCGTTAGACACGCCCGCAAAAAAGACATTTTTCACTTGTTATATATAATAAATCATCTGTGGGGTATCCTGGGGACACCCAAGACCAATATTACATCTTGTAAAAAGGGGCATAATAGTTGCCCTTTAAAGTTTAGAGTTCACATCTGACACGCGACAGTACAGTTTAACAGCCAGCCAACTGCAAAAACCATGTGAATTGGGTTGGATATGGGCTGCAATTCAAACACAGTTCAGTGACATCATTCTTTTCTGGTGCACTGAACATTTAATAACAGTTCAAATCATATGTGCAACTATGTGCTCTACCTCACAGTAGTGCAAGTACAATGCACAGTTCTCTGCAACTGTTGGCAAAATGTAAGCTCGCAAAGAGAGTTTATTGGATATCCTATAGATGCTCAAACACTGCAATAGATTGTGAGCATGGACAACAGCACTTTTGAATCTACATCTACTGATTCTGTAATTTGGCAAACAAAAAGGTTCATGTTTGCAATGTCAAGCTTAAAAACATGCAGTGAATACGTTAGTTCTTTTTTATTTTGTTTATCTGTATTTTAATTTACATTTTATTTTATGGATAATTAATAAAATGGCATACAGTGTTTTTTTTTTTAAGGTTCAGTAACTTGTTTTCAGTTAAAAGTATGTCATAGCAAATGCTGCAGTAAAACTTGAGTTGTGATATGTGTGTGGCGGGTTTATTGTTAGGTAAATTTGCTGATTTTTTTTTTTCGTTAATCAGACAATAATCGTACAGTTAAAAAATCACATTGTGACATTCCTAAGGGTGGGACTTGACTTTGACCATCGGACTGTAGAAAGTGCAAACTAAATGGGTGCCTGGCAGATTCTTGGATAGAAAGAACTAAAGTTATTGCTCTGCCTTCATCAGAGAAGAGATGCTGTTGTGAGGAAGATGGGAAATGAATGTATTTGACTGAAGATTAATGGGCACATATTTACTGTTAAAATAATAATGATGTGCATGTAATTAACACTGCATCATAAAATATGAATAAATAAATAAATAAGCATTGTCAATTTTATGGTGATAAAGTTGCTGGTTCACAAATAGAATTACCAGCATATAATAACTCTTTGAGTCATTCATACATAAATATTTATTGCTGTATAATACGTTTTATTGTTTAAAATAAATTATTAGTAGTAGTCGACCGATATGGGTTTTTTGACTGCCGATGCCGTTGCCGATATCTTGGAAAGCAGGGTGGCCGATATAAAGCCGATACAATTTTATTTATTTTCATTTATATTTAAGAAATTTGAAATAATTTGAAAATGGATTAAAAATAATAGTGTAAAATTTTTGTCAAAGCATTTTTCACAAATAAATAAATATTTAATAAAAATCTAATTAAAAAGGAAGTAAACACGGTAACCAACAGGGCACTCAGTATTCTGGGAAGTTTGTGTGAATATTTATTTATTTATTTTTTTTCAAAATAAAGCCAAGGTAACACTCATTTTACATACAGCACGCAATGAAAATGACATGAATATGACAGTGGGCAACTGCATAAAGCGCAGCATAATTTGAAATCACGAGTTTAAAGTTTGTCGATCGCGCATCTCCAGTGAAGCTGAACTCTCCTCCTGTCCGCATTCAATTTGCACGGATCGACCGTCACCCAGAGAACACGCGATCATGCAGGATACAAATGCACACTTCACAAGATCTCAACTAGATTTGACTAAGTCTGCAAGGTTTGTGAAATTAAATGTCCATTAGTCATTCAAAGATTTGTTTAAATGATATAATTGCGTGTTTTGCCACGAACGCATCGGCCAAACAGAAAAACTTATCGGCCGATGCCGATATATGAAAAATGCCAAATATCGGCCGATATATCGGCCATGGCGATATATCGGTCGACCACTAATTATTAGTACAAGCATTTATTTTACTGTAGTACAAAGGACGTGAAATGTTGTGCTATGAAATGTTTCTGTGCAGGAACCCTGATCAAACTGAAGCTGTAGATAATGATTAAACCCTTCTTTGTGCACCGCTATAGGAACAGAAAAGTCAACAAAATAAGAGCGCTGCCAACAGGTGTTGGACTGCTGGCTGGATTTAGTAAATACACACTGACTACATGGAGTTATGTAAAGGTCACAAATTGAGGTATTTGTCTAAGAGCTGCAACACATCTAGAGTCTTCGGATGGAAAGGACGAATCGTGGCACATTCACCCATGTGGCTGTACATATAAATGTCCTTGCACTGCTCGGACAATTTAAACCGTTTGGCCATGTTAAATTGTCACAGACACACATGCTGTAGATTCAGATTGTGTTTTCTGTATTTACTGCTGCATAATAGTCCCGCTTTGCAGAATTGCCGCTTCCTACAAAATGCTCATTTTGGGTAATCACGCAGCAGTTTGGTGGCGCTTAATTACTACTGGTTGCTAAGCATTGCAAAGGTCAGTTATTGCAGAATGAGGGTAAAATGTCCCTGCAGATGCACCGCTTCCACCAATTTCACATCTCCCTCTCAGCGGGACTTTTTTATGCCGCTAGGTTGTCTAGATTGTTTTTCTTTTTTTCTTCGTCTGACAGTGTTTACAAAGGATTCAATTAAGGTAGATGAATGTGGCTGTTACGGAGCAGCCGTGTTTGTTTATGCATTTGTTTGTTTGTGCACATGGCACAGTGGTTTGTTGATGTGAGAGAGGCGAAATGGTTGGTGGTTTATAAAGCGGTTAAAGCATACACTGAGTTATGTAATGATTCACACCTTCAGATAACTTATGAAGTCTAGAGATTGTGCCTCAAATTGTTGTATGCGGTTAACCCGAGTTTCAATCTGTCAGTACAAAATAGTTTTACTGTAGATTTTTCAAATACATGTAATTTATTGAGAGTAATTTTGCTTTAGCACACTTTCACTGCATTACATTTCATTAAAAATCTTGTTCTTCATTATTTTGAAGTGAAGACATCCACTCTGAAACGCAATAGCTATGTTCCAATTGTGATTATGAATCTGTACCGAATCACAGTCAGTGATTAATTCATGAATTGATCCGAACAGGTCATTATCTAGTCAAAGTGAGTCAGTTACCAAGGTACTGAATTGTTCATGTCTGTCTGACTTGAGCTTGAGTGTGCATGTGACTGATGGTGTGAAAAATAAGTTATTAATTCTGGATTTTAGTATTCATGATTACATGACACATACATATTGACATACGTATTACATACTTGAGTTATTTGTGAACTACGCAGGTTGTGTAAACCCATAGCATGAAATGCTTGATAGTGGACATGTCCACATTTGTATGTAAAAACAATAAATAACATAAAAATAGCACAAATTTGTGCACATGCTTCTTTCCTGCTGTTGTAGCAGATTCAAGTGATATAAAAAAAAGAGTATTAAAAAATGTTAACACGCGTTGCCCCATGTGACTTGTAGCCTATGTTTATACTATTTCACACTACACATTTTTTGTTCATTTTTAAATTAGTGCTGTCATATTCATACATGTATGTATATATATGTGTGTGTGTGTGTGTATGTATGGATGGATGGATGTATGTCTGTATATGATTTATATTATACATAAATAGAAATGTGAATTACATATATTTCTTAAATATATACGTGTGTGTAATTTATTTACATATAAATATACAGTGCACACATATACTGTATATTATGTAAACACAAACTTTTACTTTGGATGCGATTAATCACGATTAATTGATTTGACAGCACTATTTTCAATACTGTATGGTATATTTTGTTATTTTCACTTGTTTGCACACTTGAATTGCAGTAAGATAAATCAATATTATAGTATATTGAAGTTTAATGTGTTTATAGTGTATGTTTTGGTAATAAAATAAGATGATGCTTATGTGCAGATCAGTACATAATCAGTGTCTTCATCCATTAGTCTTCCTTATTGTAGTATAAAATTGTTAAATAAGTAAACATGGTTCAGCAAGCAGTGCTTTTTTAATTGTATTACTTATGTACAATAAAAATCAAGCACTTTTATGCTTTTACTTAAGGAAAAGTTCAAGTACTTGATTTGTGTACTTCATCCACCACTGCCAAACATATTATCATTATTTGATTATTTCTTTTTTGTTCCTCCACCTTCATGTTCTGATGTGCTCAGGATGTGTTGAACACGATGATTAGGTGGTGCTCACCACGCTTCTTTTTCCTGGGTCTGCCGGGCTTCACCATGCTGGTGGGAGACTTCATCACCGCGGCTGCTCGTGTCCTCAACACTGACTCCTTTGAGGTATTGCTGCTGCTGCTGTCAGTCCTGAAATAAGTACATCTGCATCTACACTACATACAGAAGCACACAGCTTCATGCGGTGTTTTTTCCATTCATGCTCTTGTCAGGCTCCACGGATCGAGGCTCAGACAGTTCTTGGTTCGCTGGTGTGCTTCCCTAACCTGTATCAACAGATCCCCTCTTTGCAGTCTGTTCCCGGGTCTGAGGATATCGTAGTTGGCAAAGAGGACATGAAGGTATGCCGTTACAAAAGTTAACCAAATCCCACGTTTTATTACACATATCTAATGACACTTTTTAGTGGAGATTAGCTCTGCGTTCAGCTGTTAGAGTTAGAGTTTTAATTTGTTAATTGCATCACAGGTTGCGCATTTTGGTGTGGAACTGTCAAGAATGGCAAATCTACAGAAGGAGAAGGCCTAGTATCATCTAACAGATTTAATTTAATTAATTCTGTCATTTCAAACCCTTATGACCTAATTTCTTCATGTCAAGATGTTTAGTTAATAATGACTGTCCTCAAACAAAGGTGTTGAATGGCTTCAGAAGATGTGTCATATGGCCTGCTTTCCTGTCTCTGTCACAGTTTTGATTGCACACTGGGTGACTAAGGATAAAAGTGTCATGGCTTGACTTTCAGTTGACTTCTCAGTGAAAATGCTTGCAGATGGATGATATGACCAAAATCTTAAACCATGATACAGTATGTCATTTAATGACGGCAGTGATACCCGTCACCTCATGGTAATTCTTGCTGAATTAGGTTTATCACTGCATCAAAATGATGTAAATTGAAACCAAAGCCATACATATTTCAAAATTCTCACTATCACTGACAAACATATTATAAACTGATAAAATGGCTTTAAAAGGTAAAAAAAATTAAAATGATCTGGGATCTTTTTTCCACCTTTCATGAAATATTGAAACCAATTAAAGTAATGTACCCAATAAATGGAAACTTTTAAGGAAAAAAATAAAAATAAAATTGATTGCAAAACCTGGTGGGCACACCTTTTTTATATATAATTTTTACTCTGTTTGAAATTAACCACGTATATTCAGACTTTCACTGAAAAGTAATTTGAATTCTCCAGTCATCATTTAAGTGTTGCAGTTTCTGTAGCGTCTTCGTAGTCGCATTGCTCAACTGGCGTTATATTGTTGCCAAAATCACTATGAATTTCTTTACATCTGTGTGAAAAGTGCTTTACAAATTTACTTGACTTTCAATAAATTGAAAAGAACAGCCCGGATATTCCTGAAAAATGTTTTGTTCCACATAAGAATTAGGTCATTCACGTTTTTTGAAGGTGTAAAATGACAAGATTTGTTTTTAGGTGAACTATTGTTTAAAATATGTGGTGTAAAGATATGTAAACCATGCTCACGTGACCACAAGACTGAACCTTGAACCGTTTATTATAGAAATGCACGATATTGGATTTTTGCCGATATCCGATATGCCGATAATTTTCAACTCATTTTGGCCGAAAGCCGATGCGGATATATAATTCTTTTTAATTTTGGTTCAAACTATATATTAATCACTACATTTTTTTTTCAGAAAGATGCAGTGGTAACCTTAACATTTTATTTTATGATTTAGCATTTGTAAATGGTCTAAAGCAAAAGAGTTGTAAAAATTCTGAAAATCTTTTAGAGCTGTCGCTGCTTCTGCTGCCACTGCACGTGCTATTACTGTTTACTCTATCATACACCAAAATCATACGTGTATTCTCAGTTTAAATGCAGCGATCCAAAACAGTGAATCCAATCACTATTCAGGCAAAACTTTGCTTTAAGAATGAGCCACAATGCTGATGTGATCTAATCGCACTGTTGATGTGATCTAATCGCTAGCACACCCTGAGCACATGTGAGTTTGTATTCCTCTTATCGGCAAGACATATCGGCATAATTTTTTTAATATCGGACTGATGCCGATATTTACATTCAAAGGTACAATATGTAAGATTTTTGTAATAAAATATCCAAAAACTACTTGCACAGTGTTATATATTTTATGCAGTTCTGTTTTTATGTTATTCCAAAAGTTCCCAAGGATTTGTAAATCCAGAGAAATTCGAATTTTAAATAATGACTCGTCCCTGGTCATTGTCGCCGATCAATGATGTAATCAGAATCAGAATCAGAATCAGAATGAGCTTTATTGCCAGGTATGTTTACACATACGAGGAATTTGTTTTCGTGACAGAAGCTTCCACAGTGTAACAGAATGACAGTGACAGAACAAAAAACACAGATAATAAAAAATAAAAAAATAGAACAAGTAAATAAGGAATAAAAATATATAAATTGACAGTTGTATGTGCAGGTATATTACAATAGACAGTTTTGTATGTACAGGTACTGTATATTATGTGCAAATTTGAGGTGTAGACTGAGTATGTGTGTTAGATAAATAAGTGTATGAGTGAATAAATAGTGTGTGTTCCACAGTTATTGTTAAGTGATCATGAGATGGATGGCCTGAGGGAAGAAACTGTCAGTGCTGATTATACGGGTGCTGGATGTGTATTTTCCCAGCCTCACTAGCTGCTGCCTGTCTGTCAGGAAGCTGTTGATCCACTGACAGACGGAGGTGGGCACAGAGAGCTGAGTTAGTTTGGGCAGGAGGAGGTTTGGGATGATAGTGTTAAAGGCCTAATATCCGCATATCCTCCGTTTCCGCTTGTAGAAACTATGGCAACACACAGACACAAATGCTGCTGTACAGTTAAACTAAATCCATTACGGCTGTCGCGAATAAAATGCAAATGAAATGAAAAGTGTTGACCGCAGAGTGTTGATCACACACGAGTCTGTTGAGCTTATGAATGCAATGGCCAATCAAAGGCGTTCAGATGAGTTTTTGTTCAGTGACTGAATTCAGCTCTCATGCAAATTCTCTCATCATAAACAACAAAGTCCAGATGTACGCATGATGTAAGAGATTCATTCATAAAACCTTGTATAGACTGCTTTACTGATTATAACGGGAGTTTTTTGAGAGTGCTTAAACTCGCGCTAGACTTAAGTCAGTCATAATGTTCTTTGACAGTGTAAATGTTCTTTGCTTGCATTCTCTGTATAATTTATTCACTGTTTGAATAACTATGGAAGGTACAGGTTATAAAAAAATTTATTCATTACCTCATCCGTGAACATCCTCCTTCATAGCGTCATCAAACTTCGCCTTTGTTATTGTTTTGAAAATGCGACCTCTAGTGGCGAAAACGTACATATTGTACCTTTAAAGCCATTATCGGCCGATTCCGATATTGGTCCGATAATATCGTGCATCCCTAGTTTATTAGCCTTAATATGTTGCCAGATGTATTAGTATTAACTATCTTTGTCATGCTTTCTATCTGTAGGACTACCTTGTGAACATCCTTTTGAAGACGGCACGCAATGAGACATGTGAAGGAGCCAGGTACTGTACAGCCAGATCATTCCTTACCCACCGCTCTCCCGACTGACACAGATCCAGGCCACTGAGCCTTATGTGTAGTCATCTTGCATTCATTTCGATATTTTATTTTGTTCCTATTCAAATGTCATGCATGATTACAACCACACTGATACATTTTACATTGTGAATGATATGAATGGCTGCTAACGATCAGCCTGTGTTTTCACCTTGTTTTAGGTGTGTAGCGATCTGCAGTCTGGGGCTGTGGGTGTGTGAGGAGCTGAGACAGACAGAAACTCACCATCAGGTCAAAGATGCCATTAACGTCCTGGGCGTCACGTTGAAGGTGATTATATTTGATCTGTTCTTCACTCTGAAGTGGTATTAGTCTCTTCTACTAGTCTGTATTAGTTGTATTGATTTGAGTTAATAATTTACCCGTTTTGAACTGTATCTCACATCTCTGAAGACAACCACAAAAAAGATTATATATGATTGCAAACGTTTGTTACATTCAGTCTTCAAAGGAAAACCTTTTGTTTCACCAGGTCAAATAGGCTTGTATTTTTCCTGATCAATTATTTTTATATGTGTGCGATAAATATAATGGTCACGCATGGTACTTCAGTATAACATAAGATGTAAAGTTACCACAAATCTATTGATTATATAAAAATTCCAAATGGTTAGCACATACTGTATTATTGTTAAATTGCAGTATAGTTGGAAAGATTGTCTGAAATGTGGTTGAACCACTCATTTTCAAATGATAACTTCCATCTTGAGTGTCCTCGTTCCCTTCCTTATGCAGTGGTGATCACATCCTGTTCATATTGACTCAAAGCAGCTCAGGCCAAAATAAAGCTTCGGCAGAGGAACAGGGTTTCCATCTCTAAAAGCATGTGCTGAACTGTTGGGGGTTTATGTGTGGCTGCCTCTCTTCTATTACTCTGAGAAAACACTCACTCTCTCACCTCAGATTCCACATGAGCCCAGAGCAAGAGAGAATTGTGGGTAGAGCAGTAGACACAATCCATTAACCTGGGATCTACCCAGCAATGTGTTTCTCTAAAATAAGTTGGTGATAAATAGAAATAACAAACATATAAATAGAAATGACACAAATAATCATGTGTGTTTTAATTAATGATGTGCATATATTATTTTTCAGTGTCATTTTTACAACATCATGTCAAACATACCATGTTTTATCACTAATACTATCATCGATAATACCAAAGGATATTGACAAAAATTGGGGACAACTGTAAAACCTTATAAAAGATGTTTATTATTAAAATGACTTTTCATATATATATATATATATATATATATATAAACTATGAACTATAACTATAATTCAAATAATAAATCTATATCTATAACTATAATTCAAATATAATCAAATTAAATGGTACATTTGAGTTAAGAACATTCCAATTGTTTTCTCTGATCGTTTTCAAAGTGGAATGATCAACAAGGCTGTGCTTATTTGATCAAAAATACAGTATAATTGTGGAATATTATTGTAATTTACAGTAACTATTTTCTGTTGTAATATATTTTAAACTGTAATTTATTCCTGTGATGTAAAGCTGAATTTTCAGCATCATTACTCCAGTCTTCAGTGTCACATGATCCTTCAGAAATCATTCTAATATGCTGATTTGCTGCTCAAGAAACATTTCTTAATATTATCCATGTTGAAAACAGATGTGTTGCTTAATAGTTTTGGATTCTTTGATTAATAGAAAGTTCAAAAGAACAGCATTTATTTGAAATAGAAATCTTTTGTTACATTATAATTGTCTTTACTGACATTTTTGTTCAAATAAAGGTATTAAAAAAAACTTTTGAACGATAGTGTATATTTTAAAAAGCACAAGAGGTATAACCATATCTGCTTAGCATTATGTCAAATTCTTCATATAAATAAGACAAATTAAATGTCTTTCTTCCTGATCATGTTCATTTAGTGAAAGAAGTAATGAAAACTTGCCTTTTTTTGTTCATCTTTTTCATTTAGTCTGGACTGTAACATGAGAGTGAATGTAATTGTGTCTTTTTCAGTTTGGAAATAAGGTGGTGGCCAATGTGGCCTGTGACATCTTTCAGCTGCTGATTTCTCACTGGCAGCACTTACAGAGACTGGATCCGTCCCTTCCCAAAAGAATTATAGAGGTACGACCAATCTCCATCAGCATGATGCATCTGTTGCAGTATTGTGTAAGGGACGCCTGCTTAATCTCCACTTTTCGTCTGTTGTAGATTTTTGTAGCAACCATAGCATTTCTTCTGCCCAGTGCTGAACACTCAACAGTTGAGGCAGATAAAAAGGTAAGCAAGCAAAACATCTCTGTTTGTGTAAGCAGTGCTGGACATGGGAATTCAGAATGAGTAGCACACGGCACTTCATCCAGTCTCTCTACTCGTTGTTCCATCCTTCCTAACAGCTTGTCTACGGTAGGTTTATTGATTGTTTTGTAGTCATGTCAAGAGTGTGCTGAATGAATGCTTTCTCCGTGCGCTCTAGTTAATGGTGTCTCTACTGCTGTGCCTGCTGGACTGGTGCATGGCCGTACCTCTCTCCATCCTGCTGGAGCCCATCACTATGCCTGTGCTGGACGACCCCGCCTCGCAGAAAGCCCCTCTACTCGACTACATTTACAGGGTGGGTACAGGCAGTTAGTTACTTGAAATTAACGCAGAAATATGCCAGTGCATGTGTGTGCGTTCTAATATAAATGCACTCGTCCCCCCAGAGCTCATATTTAGTCATCAGACACTAATGAGAGGGCATTGAGGGGCACAGAATAAATGAGATATTAGTCCCGGCCTGTTGTGCAGATGCAGACAGACACGGACCTTTGTGCAGATGTCATGCTCCCAGAAAAAAATGGCCAAATTATTTAAATGTCCCATTGTTGGATTGATAAGCTCACCAATGAATGCTGAACTTAAGAATTCAGTTCATCATCATATGAGAGAAAATGCACCTGCTGCAAAGGGGAAGAGGAAAGAATAAATGTCATTTGTTTTCTTCTGCACTCGTTTGACTGTTAATCATTTTCTGCTAGTTATTATATGCTCAGTGGGATTACTTTAATCTCCCATTTGTCAGAGCTGAATAGCGTCAAGCACGAGCACATGTACATAACCCTCACTAGGACAGCAAACCAGTACTCGTGCGTTCGAGTGTCGTGTCTCAGTTAAGTGCAAGAAATAATGATTAGCATCTCAAGCCTATAGTACTACTCCAATAATAATTGGTAATTACTGTTCTTTAATGTTATGGAGTCTTGGTTCATTTATGCAGCACAGTTTGAGAAGTGCCACTTACTACATTTATAGACTAATGAAAATCACTCTGAAACTTTAGAACCGACAAATCCAGTTTAACAATTAGAGTAATGAACTTTCCAGAATTTGTTTTGTTTTTCTCTCATCTTGTCACTATATGACTGTTTTATACTGTGCCAGTTTGTTTCCTTACAGGAAAAGCAGTCAGTTTATGGCTTAAGAAATTTCTGCCTTTACAAGTAAATATGGCCTGACTGAAGTCCATTGTAAGATGGTCTGTTACTGATTTACATTTAGAGATGATCCATCACACCTTTGAATGACCCGTACCTCTGATTTATCAGCAGTTTCCGTTTGAGCCAGATGACACTAGTGGCTCTATGGTGTTGATTATGTGGCAAAATTAAAGTTCTGTGGTTTTAGGTATTTTGACAACATTAATTTATATCTGATCGTGTTTATGTAGCATACAGGGTGGTTGTTTGCTGCGTGAGTGTGTGGTGTTTGAGAATGAGCCAAGGGATAAAGCCTTAATTAAATCAAACAGAGCAAACCTGTTCAGGCACTGTGATAAACTGTGCTGGACTGTGTCTTATCTTCTCCAGCCAACAGAGCCATGGCCATCTGTTTTTGCACATCGATACACTCACATATCACTGGAGAAATAGATTATTAGCCCATAAAGCCCCTCTCGCTGGGTTTCCTGGCTTAGCATTGTAAATATCGTCCCATCTCCATATGGCGGCCCTGTAGCGCTCAACCACACCGTCTGGGTGTAACAACAATGTTTCAATCTATTACAGATTCCTTTTTAATGCATCTCAGTGGAGTGCCTAGAAGAGCATCTTCATGGCTGAAGTAATCTCTGAGTTGTTGATCCTAACAGAGCTCGCTATTTGACGCATTCTCATTAGGCTTTCAAAATGCGTTAACATCTAAACAATGCCATTAGTATCGTATGCATTACATTTTGTATTTGTAATTCAGTCTAGAACAACAAATAATGCAGCAATAAATAATCTCACTTTTTCTGAAGGTGTTCCCCAGGGTTCTGTATTAGGCCCACAAATATTTTCTTTTTATTTCATTTTATTTATTTTTCTTTAGCCATTCTTTTTGTAGTGTATCACCGGTGTACTTAATTCACTGTTCTGCTGTCTTAGGTGCTGCACACTTGTGTATCAGGGTCTAATCTGCACACTCAACAGAGTCACTACCTCCTCAGCCTTGCTGATCTGTCAACAGACTATGAACCCTTCCTTACTTTAGGCAATGTCAAGAGCTTTGAACCATCGCCCATACACAATGTCATGGGAGACTTCGGAAATCTCCTCACTGTGGCTGAAGGTAACTTTCTGTTCATTACTCCACTTTCTGTTGTGCTTTCAGGAGGAACATATTGAGTGCAGTTAATCTTATTGCAGTTGTGTTATGTTGTTTGTTTACAGCACGTTATCTACAGCGTGCCTAGGGAAATGTCATGACTAATCTGTCATGAACTGTCCCGAGTCATATTTCACCCCAAAATCAAAAGAAAGTGGAAAGGGCCTGTTTTTAAGACCATTAACAATGTTTGCATCATTTTGCACTTTTAAACCACCTCGCGTCAATTTTGGGAAAGAAAAAAAAAGTTTAAATTATATTATTTTTATTATTAATATTATGTTTTAATTTATTTATTTATTTAGCCTTTTTTTAAGTCGATTTGTAAAATACAGTTTTTGTTTACATCATGGTAGTATTCGTTATTTTAAATTTACTAATGGTTCCAAATATATATTTATATATAGTGAGATTAACCATATTTCATCACCTTAAATATTCATTTTTGTTTAGTTTTGTCATGAAACCTTATTAAATGTAAGAATTTTTGCTTCACATCAACACAAATCACTCTTTAATGTCTTTAATGTAAAGGCAATTTTGACTAAATTTACTTTGTCAACTTTTTCAGCATTAATTGTGAAACCTCTGCATCTCCCTTGAAAAGCAAAGAAAGTACAAAACATTTTTAATGTGTCCTTTGAGTTCTTATCCTGAGCTCTTGTGAATCATATTAGAGCAAATGTAGCACAATGTGGAATGAAATAGAATTTTAAAGAGGTGCGCATTAGTTCCCTCATCCACTCAAAGCAAGCCCATTTATGCCAATTATTAAAGAAATCATTTTTTCCTCCTCCGACCTTGCTTCATCCATTAGGCAATATTTCTTGTGTGTTTTCTACCTTGGCATGTCATCAAATGTCATCTGTTTTTGGTTGGGGTGGGTTGTTCTTTCCTATTTCAACAGGGATGCTTTTTATGACAGTACATTTATATCTGTTGAGTAGAGGAAGAAAAAGAATGCTGGCTTTTGCAGCGCAAACATCTCCATCCATTGACATGCCTTTTATATCTCTGCGAACGAAAAAAAAAAAAAACAACCTCAGCCAAAGAGCAACTCATAAGCAATATTCCAGTACCTAGCTCATATTGATTAGTTCACTTCAAAGCTCTGTGCATCCCTAATGCAACTTGCTCGTCTTTGCAAAGAGCTTTTTCCACTTTGATGGAGATGATGGTATTGATAGCACTGTCACAATGTGAGCACTTCGGGTTTTTTTCCCCCCTTCTCTCTCTCTCATCTTAATCTTAATATCCACTAATGACAACGTTAGATTTCTCACTTTTTGAGAGGTGTTCAGCATTCAGAGGACTTTAATTCATAGTGCTTGCAGAGCCCTATTTACTCATCACGAAAGGTGTGATGCTCATTAGTGCAGCCCTTTGAGTCTGTTTTAGGAGAATGAATAGATATTTTAAAGGTGTCTGGGTGGACACCTGTGTACATGGTGCAGATGTGGAAAAATGGCCTCCATTGGTCATGATAGCTAAAAGACAGTATACCGACCAGCTTTTGAGAATAAGTACGGGAAAAACATACTCAGCCGGTCAGGACTTGTATTACCCTCAAAAAGTGAGTCATCCAGCAGTCATTATACAAAAAATGTTTACCTGATTGTGTTTTCCAATCAGAATCAAGTATTCCAGAGAGATGTGTAATCATTTGTGATAATGGCCAGCTGACTGTAAATTACCCCATGTACATGGCGACGTACCAAGAAATGAATTAAATGAATGGGCATGGAATATTAATTTCAGTTGAAATAGCTTGATTATGTGAGAAGAGAGTTCAGAGTGATCTGAGAAAAATAAAAACTAGCACAACTATGTAGGGAATGGATTGCCACTGACAACTAGTGGTTGACCAATATGAATGTTTCAGTGTCTGTTGCCTATACTAATATGCACATATCAGAGTGCCCAATATAAGACTTGATACACAAAAAGTTCAACTGAAAACATTTTTATACATATTAACTATCGATCTGACCCAGTAGACGCCATAATCCCACTCTGTCTCTCTCCAATCCCGTTTTTTTTTTTAGAAATTTTTAGGGTGGGTGTTTACGCAGTTGGCTAGAGCAGTGCTGATTGGGGAGAACGGAGGTGCGCTCACTCTTGCCCAGGGCAAGATTGCAGCTCAAGGCTGGCAGTCATGCATATGCTCTGGAACAGAGTAATATCGCGTCCACATCGCAGGCTTTGCGATTAGGAAATCGCAACGTCTCAAATCGCGATTTCGATTCGATTTCGATTAATCGCACAGCCCTAATATTTACTAAAAAATGAAATAGAGATTGCAATACATTTTAAAACTGATACAGGTAATGCGTAACGCTTCTGTTAATTGAGCAATTGGACATGACATTAAAACAGCCAGATTATAACAAACCTGCAAATAATGGCCACCTAATTGGTCTGGATGACATATCGGTCTGTCACTAGTGAAAACTGTCAGCTGACCTGCAGAATAACACAACTGACATATCAGAATCACATATCCCACAGAGTCATATAATATAACAGGGTGATGGGCAGATTTCTACATAACAGTGTTGAGGCAGTACAAACTTCATTATTTTACATTTAAACGGATAGTTCACCCAAAAATGAAAATTATCTCATCACTTACACTTACATGATGCCCAAAGACTTTGGTTCACCTTGGAAACACAAATGAATATACTGTCCCTCCAAATTTTGATGCTTCAAAAAGTTCATAAAGAGATTGTAAAAATATTCCATATTAATTGAGCAGTCCAAGTATTCTGAAGAGACACAATCACTTTATATGATGAACAGGCACATACATAGAGCACATCATATATCAACAGAAGCTTAGACGTGCTTAATTGACACACAAGAACCAATGAGGTTTGTTCTTGCTCATCAAGCAAGTATGATTGAGCTTCCAATGACCATATTTCATGTGCTCTATATGTGTATGCACCGAGCAATGTTTATATGTGAATAAAAGCCTAAATGACATCTGTTTTTCATATAAAATGGTCATGTCTTTTCAGAAGGCTTAGATTAAACCACTCGATTCAAATCAGTTGTTTACAGTAGAATAAATATGACTTTTTGAACCATCAAAATTTTATGGACTCAAAGGAGGGACGCCATAAATATCTCAATCTTCACATAAAAAAATTCTTCATTTGTGTTTCGAAGTTGAACCAAAGTCTGATTTGTAACGACTTGAGAGTAATTATACATAAACACACTGTAAATACATCTTATTTTTTCATTTTAATATAATTTAAGGAATTGGGCTCTTGATAGTCAGGTGCTTTTTACATGCATAACAAAACTATATAAGTATTATACTTTTACTGTGTAATATGTGCTATTTATTTGCATATTCGAGCTGCATGGGCTCTTTTCTGTATTTTACTGTTATATTCTCACTTTCTCACTTTCATTTTCCTTTTCTGCGGCACCTTTCCCGGGCACATGCACATTTATTATTAATGTGCATTGTCCCTTTTTAAATAAACAAATAGATCAAATAAATTGATGACAGGATTTTCATTTTTGGATGAACTAATCCTTTGTGTATACCTGTAAGACAGATGTTTTCTAATTTACTAAACTTGTGTTGTTTCATATCCCAGAAAAGAAAAGGAGAAGCCTGGAGCTGATTCCTCTGACCGCTCGGATGCTAATGACACACCTGGTCAATCATTTGGGCCACCATCCTCTCAGTGGCGGCCCTGCCCTCTTAAACAGCCTGATCAGCGAGAACCACGACAACCCCTACGTAGAGTCTTCTGAGCTCTCCTCTGAAGTCTTCAAAAGCCCCAATCTACAGCTCTTTGTCTTCAATGACAGCACACTAGTCTCATACCTGCAGATCCCCTCTGACAGTTCCAGCACGGCCCAAGTAAGTGCCAACCCGAGGGATCATTCGTCTGAGGTCCGCGTCATCGTCAGGGACATCTCGGGAAAGTACTCGTGGGACGGCGGTGTTCTGTTCCGCACTTTGGACGGAACTGGCTTGAGTTTGGGTGGCAGCAGAGATCAGTTGTCACACGACGCCACTCACTCTGTCCGCTTCAGTAAATGCTCCTCTGAGCTGGAAGTGGAAGATGGCGTGGATGTGTTGGACCAGCTACTGGAAGACCTTGGCCACAGCAGCCCCGAGTGCCTGCCGCAGCTCCAGCTGAGGCTCACCCAGCCGCCCTCTCCACCCATCGGCATGAACCCTGAGATGGAAGGGCTCATCATGGATGCCATCCACAGACAGGCCAAACAGGAGGACGAGGAACTGGTCCGACGACAGACTGAAGACCCCAGCGTCAGAGCAGAGAGACAGAGAGAGCCCACGCTGCACGAGCCCAAATCTCCTTTTTTCCTCTGCAGACTTCTCCTCAATGACCTCGGCATGAACTCATGGGATCGCAGGTACAGTATTTCATGGGAGTTGCTGGAAAACACCAAATGTATAGCACATCCCAAAATGAAAATGCAGTCACCCGCTTCCAAAGCTGCTCTTTTCCACATCAGTACTCATTGGTTCTTATGATTCTCGAGACCATTCTTGATGCAAAATTTGAATGTGTGTGAATAAGATTTGAGAGCTATGGTGGAGAAGACGACTTTGTGTGAATACCTGAAATGTTGGTTTGCTGCCAGTGTTTTATAAAAAAGGTACAATAAATAAATACATAACTCATAGAATTTTATTTTTAACAAGTTTACAATCAGTCACATAGCTACAAATATACATATTTCAAATCTGCATTTATTTGATCAAAACAGTAAAAGTACAGTATAAATAGTACAGTAAAGTAAAAATGGCAATGTTATGAAATATTATTTCAGTATCAAAGAACTGTTTTCTATGGTGACGCATTGGTGCCACACGCATATAATTTTTTTCCTGTCAATTATGTCATAATAACGAGATATTATAACATATTTTCTCGTAATAATAAGATGTTATGTCGTTAAAATTACATTTTCTTGTAATAACGAGATATGTCAGCAAAAGTACATATTTTTCTCATTATCTCGTTAAAACAACATATTTTCTCGTAATAATGTCGTTAAAACGACATATTTTTCTCGTTAAAACGGCATATTTTTTTGTAATAACCAGATGTTATGTTGTTTAAATTATGTAATTATCATGTTAAAATAAAAAAATTTTCTCATAATAATGACATATTATGTCAGAAATACAATGTTTTTCCCGTTATAGAAGATATTAGCCTATAGTGACATTATGTGAGCGAGGCGATTGTCTGCACTGCTGGTGTCGCCACAGTCCTGAGATAAATGAAGATCTGCACGCTGCTGAAGTTACTGCAGGAGGAATAATAGAAATACACACAAATACAGGGACAGAGAGTAAAGGCAGGTTGAGTTGAAAAGTGGCGTTTCAGGGCTGCCCACGTATGTGAAAAAAATATTAAACAAATATTAAAGTTTTTTTTTTTTTTTATGAAAAAAAAAATTTATAATAATCAAACTGTTTGTCTTTTCTCTTTATTTCTCTTACAAAAAAACTTTTTCACACGATAATTGTCTTTTTAACGACATCTCGTTATGCGAAAATGTCATTTTAATGAGATAATTATGTAATTTAAACGACATATCCCATTATCATTAGAAGATATGTTGATTTAACGATATAACATCACATTATTAGAAGAAAACGTAGTTTTCACAAGATAATTGTCGTTTTAATGACATAGCATGTCCTTATTACGACATAATTGAGTGGAAAAGATAATGTGTGTGGCAGCAATGCGTCACTGTAGTTTTCTATTTGAATATATTTTTTAAAATAATAGTGAAAACCGTGGAATAATTTATTCCTGTGATGGTAAAGCTGAAATTTCAGCAGCCTTTACTTACTATATTAGAAATAATTCTAATATGCTGATTCACTGCTCCAGAAACATTTCTTCTTATTAATTTCTTCTAATAGATAGATAGATAGTACCTGTGCTCGTCTCATCTGATAATTTGACTAGATCAAGGGTTTTATTTTTATTATAATTTTTTTTTTGTTAATCACAAAGACTCAATAAAACTCTATAAAACATAGTTTTTCTACAAGCATCTTCTGTAGATCAATTCTGAGCCAAAAAAATAATGTCTGTGTTCCATTAATAAGAAAATAATAATGAATAACAGTCTCCAAGTATTTATAGGTTTTTATTCTTTCACTTTGATTGAGTTAGGCTTCAGGACAGGTGGACACTTTCTAAAGTCCCATGTCTTTTGTTTTTGCCATTGTTTTTTTTTTGTTTTTTTATGATTTTTGGATTACTTAAATTACTATGATAATGTTTGAGAGAGGAAGAGCTCTGACAGTTCAAACAATGGTTAAATAATATACTTTCCATAAATCTACTTTTATGGTGCCTTTTTGTTCTTTCTGAATGGAAAAGAGCAGCTTAGACATTCCACTAATGTTCTCTTTTATGTGATTTTGAGTAAGTGGTGAAAATGTTTGAGTATCTTTTTTTTTCTTGAGGGCCTCTTTGCATATCAGAATATATGAGCATGCCACAAAATGTGTGAATATAATTGCATGAGTTCTACATATTTTAGATTTGTTTGTTTATTTATTTATTTTTCTAGAATTGTAATTTTTAATCCCAAGCATTGTTATGATACTATGGGGTCACAGTGTTTACGGTTTTCAGAGTAAACCTGCAGACCTTTTTTTACTTTAGTTGAACTAGGATGGAAGAAAATATTTTAACATTGAAAAAATTATTACAAATTGAGTGATTTCGCCTGTGTCTCACCATTTATCTTTTGGAAAGTTATTCCTGGTTTTTATGACTGTTCCATTTCTTTTTCTCTTCGTAGAAAAAGCTTTCATCTTCTAAAGAAGAACTCCAAGCTCTTGAGAGAGCTGAAGAATTTGGACTCAAGTCAATGGTAAGGGTTTCTGCTCGTTTCTGATGTCCGTGCCTTAAAGTTCCATACAGATAATCACATACCAAGTAAATCAGCGACATGAAAACATAATCGTAACTTCCTGCCTAACTCCTCGGCACTTAACACTAAAAATCAGCAGCAAACAACAGCATGCATTTGGAGAGCTCAATCATGCAGCCTAATGCCAGTCTACAGAGAGTAGCTAAATCCTTTAAAAGCACTATTAAGGAGACATGTCTTAAGACCACTCTCAGATACTCCGCTCCTCACGGCCTAATCCTGCCCATGTCTGGCTGATCACAGCTCCACACTTTTCAGCCAACAGCGATCAATAGGCGCTCAGAGTGGCTAATTACAGAGGCTTATTAAAGAATACCCCCAGGATCGGGCCACCGTTACCCTCCGCATGCATAGCCGGCCCACTCATGGCAACCGCTGACTGAGCGTGCCAAACATCAGACTGCACGGGCATGACGCTACCTTAGCAACACTGCTCAAAGAGACACACACGGCTCACACATACACACTGCATACCTGGATTTGATTTATAGGAAATAGTTGCAAAAATAAATGTATTAAAGTGTGTTTTGGTCAAAAAACAATGTATGATTTGATGAGCATAACAGAGGTGGTGCCATATATAGGCTACCGGACATCCTATTACTTACCTACATGTTTTAAGGAAATCACAACTGTTCTTTAGAGAGAGAACTATTAGCTATGAGTTCAAATGAATTATGAATTATTAACTTGCCAAAAGCATCATATTTTCATCTGTTCCATATTTTGTGCTTAACTCTCGTACCACATGATGTCTTTTAACAAAAAGGGAAGAAAAATGTGACACCCAGGAATTAAGATCATTTAGACCCTTTTTACATTTCTCAGTTTGTATACACATTTTAGAGTTCAAAATATGAAGCAAATATATTTTATTTATATATGCAACCTTATGCTAAAAATATAAATAAAAAACTTTTCCTTTTATTTTAGCTAGTTGCCAAGGCAACATTTTCTGTTTGTTAAAAAAAAACACTATAAAAAAATCAGTATTTTTAAAACAAATCTTATAAAAATGATGAAAACACAAGACCATTGCTAACAATGTTAATTAAAAGAAAACAAAAATAAAAAAAATAATTCAATATATTAATAAAAATATATACTTATGTAGTATCTCAATAATATGTGACCCTGGAGCACAAAAGCAGTCTTAAGTCGCTGGGGTATATTTGTAGCAATAACCAAAAATACATTGTATGGGTCAAAATTATAAATTTTTCTTTTATGCCAAAATCATTAGGATATTAAGTAAAGATCATGTTCCATGAAGATATTTTGTAAATTTCCTACCATAAATATATTAAAACTTAATTTTTGATTAGTAATATGCATCTCTAAGAACTTCATTTGGACAACTTTAAAGACGATTTTCTCAGTATTTAGATTTTTTTGCACCCTCAGATTCCAGACTTTCAAATAGTTGTATCTCGGCCAAATATTGTCATATCCTAACAAACCATACATCAATGGAAATCTTATTCATTCAGCTTTCAGATGATGTACAAATCTCAATTTTGAAAAATTAACACTTATGACTGGTTTTGTGGTCCAGGGTCACATATACTAATAGAATTTCAATGATGCTAAAATAACACTGATCTAAACTCCATACCCCATAATGACAAAGCAAAACCAGATTTGTGAAAAATTTCCAAATTTATTAAAAAGACAAAACTGACCTATCACATTGTGTCAGTATTCAGACCCTTTGCTATGGTGTTTGAAATGTAGCTCAGATGCATCCCATTGCATCTTTGAGATGTTTCTACACTTTGATTACATATACAGACCACATCAAATATGGTGACACCTCAAATGTCGTGATGTTTTGCATGGTGTCGGTTCATCTTGTGTGTTTTTGTTTCCAGTCGAGAGACGCACAAGATTGCCATGTTCTACATTGGAGAAGGCCAGGAGGACAAATGCTCCATTCTGTCCAACACGGAGGGCAGTCAGGCGTATGAGGACTTTGTCTCTGGGCTGGGATGGGAGGTGAAATAACACATCAAATCCACTTAATGAGTCTGTAGTGCGCGGATGTCATGTCCTGGGACTATGTCAGAGCATCAGGAAGTTTCTCTCTCTCTTTCAGGTGAATCTGGCCACTCACTGTGGGTTTATGGGTGGTTTGCAGAGAAACGGCAGCACAGGAAGCACAGCACCATATTACGCTACCTCCAACGTTGAGGCCATCTTCCATGTGTCGACTCGCATGCCTTCTGACTCAGATGACTCCATCACAAAAAAGGTAGTTTCAAGCACCTCATTTCCTGCTTGACAAGAACCATACACATTACAAAAAACATTCTGGTTTTAGATGGGTGATTTACTGATTGAAACTGGTGGAATGTTGTCTTAAAAAGTAGCATTTATGAGCATAATTTTTAAAAGAAGTTTAACAAAATGCCACTGCTTTGTCAGGAGTACAGGCTTTCCAGTCACTTTACATTCAGAAAGGAAATGAGAAAGAAAAAAGGTCACGCTCTTCAGTTTTAAAATGACCTTATGTTAAACCCACCCTTTTAGTTACTGTTGTTATCACTATGAAGCTTTCTGCATAAAACCATTCTAAAACTAGAACTGCTGGGCACAAAAAACAGCACCAGCTCCCCGCTGTACAGTTGAGGCTGGAGTTTTACTGCACTCAAACAGCACTAACAATAACCTAGTTTCTTTTTGTTCATAATACAATCCATCCACTAACCTCACGACATCTAGTGATGGCATCTTAAATGCACGTTTTCCCACTCGTACTAATTGGCACATACAATTTTGCTAAAATAAACCTTTGTCTCACTACATCATTAAATACATAAAATGATTAAGATCAAGAGTTAAATCAATAAATACAACGAATAGGACGGATAAAACCAAACACAAAATACAAAACAACAAATACATCTGCAAAAACATTTCCATAAATAGCTAAAAATGAACATTCCCCTTTAGGTTGGCGCTTCCTTTAAAGGCCACACCCACTCGGATAAAACAGGAAATAGAACAGTGAACCTCACATATGTTATAAACGAAAATCCACATGAACAGTAAGAACACGATAAAATACAGTCTCTCTGTCACACGTGTGTATTAAAAGGTTTTTAAAATTTTAAAGAAAAGTCATTCAAAAAATTAAAAAATGTTGTGTTTGTCATTGAAACTTTTTATTTCAACATTGCATGAACAAAAAAAAAAAACTGAGCTTTAATTTGAGTAAGTCAGAGCCAATTAAATGTGTGGTTTCTGACATGTTGTTTTTGTTTTTTTTCTTAAAACCAAAATTTTATGAGAATACTGTGACATAAATGTTTGCTTACCCCTAAAAACACTGTTATTCGGTTTAAAATGGTGATTTAATGACTGCAGTTGGTCGTACAGATTTGACAGCAGGTGAGTGACACGCGTGACTTTTGGACCGTGCTCCTGATTGCACGGCTCTGTCAGACCACTGAGAGCTGTGAGACCGTGTCGTCAGCGAGGGAGCCGAGCATGTGCAGGTTTAGTAACAGCTCTCGCTCTCTGGACTCCTGTGCGCGCTGTGACCGGGGCCCCGATCAGCACATTAACTCACACCACAAGGGCCAAAGGCCTGCCGGATACCAGCAGGGCCCTGCTATCGAATTCCGCCCGTGTCGGCGGGACGGCGATCGACACGCGTTAGCAGGTTAACGCTGGCAAAATGAGCCGGTAGGAACCTGCTTAGTTTGAGCGCTCAATCCGATCATGCACAGGCCTGCAGAGAGAAAAATTCATCAGGCTCCCGGACGTTAAAGCCTCTCACTGTCAGAGCTCATATTAGCCCATCTCAGCCACACTCCACTTCCTCCGTTCGGCATGGGAAGTGAGCGTGTGTGCCGCGAGCTGTGCTCAGTTCATTTTGGCCATCAGGCCTCGTAATTGCAGCGCTCCCGCTCTGGCAGCGAGAGAGGGCGACTGTTGGGCGGCACGTGTGAGGGGAGGGGTGAAAGGGCTATTTTATCAGCCACAGGCAGACAGGAAGTAACTCCTCTAATTTACAAATGCAACGTTCAGAGGTAGCGAGAGAAAGGAGGGGTGAAGAGCTGACAGCAAGGAAAACAGAAGGAGAAAAAGAGAAGAATTCTTGAATCCAATTGAGTGCTGGGGGGCAGAATGAAGCAGAGCAGCTGGCTGGGCTAGTAATGCAGTTACTGGGAGGGTGTTGCCATGCGAGGCCACGGTGTCAGGAGGCAGCCGGTCATCCATACACACACACATACAGACAAACACACTCTTTTGTTGCAGAGTGAGGGATGCTGCTTCTTTACAAGGCAGCATTTAAGCTTCAGGGCATCTCTTGCTCTGCTCGGTGTCTGTGTGTTTACAGTCTGCATCTGTATGGTATGCTCTACACACTTAAATATGGTTCTTTTAAGAACTGCTCACTGAAAGGTTCTTTGGGATCCCAAAATGGTTCTTCTATGGAATCGCCGTGAAAGCCCCCTTTTGGAACCTTTATTTTTAAGAGTGTACTCACATGTGGCCACTAATGGAATGATGCTGCAAAGCATGTGGTTCAAGAAAAGGTATACTGTCATTTTGGTGGATGCTAAAATGGGTGAAAAATCCCAAAGCCTTTCATTGGTGGAAGAACCTGAGCCATATCTGGAGACCAGCACATGAGAAGGGCTTTGAGATGGACTCTATTGGCTTGTGTGGGAAGAATCCATCATCCACCCAGGGGCCGGTTGCATAAACTGCTTAGACTAGTCTTAAAGGGGTCATATGATGCTGCTAAAAAGAACATTATTTTGTGTATTTGGTGTAATGAAATGTGTTTATGCGGTTTAAGGTTCAAAAAACACATTATTTTCCACATACTGTACATTATTGTTTCTCCTCTATGCCCCGCCTTTCTGAAACGCGTCGATTTTTACAAAACTAATCGGTCTGAAAAGCGAGGTGTGCTCTGATTGACCAGCTATCCAGTGCGTTGTGATTGGACGAATACCTCAAGCGTGTGACGGAAATGTTACACCCCTTACCATACTGTGATGCCCTGTCCGGCCGGAGCGACAAGTCGTGTCCTCTTTTGGAAGGCCAAACAAAGTAGTTTCGCTTTCACAACGAAACGCACAGCGTCACACACGGCGGGCTAGAGTGCGCGGCGGCCGGCGGGCTTGAGAACGGTGCGGCCGGCAGATTCAACGAAGGAGCGTCCGGAGGGCCGAAGCACACAGCGTCTTCACGACATGGCTGCAGTGTCAACAATACTACAGCGAGAATAAAAGTTACGTCTTCTTTCTTTGCGTGAACATTTGGGCGGTGTTATGCAAATCTTCCCAGATAGTGACGTAGGTATGTGGGGGTGTGTTAGAACGAGCCGTTTTAGGTAGGCGTGGTTGACTTTTAACTTTTATAAAGAATATGTCTTTGGATTTGAGACTTTAGTCTTTGCAACTTTACAGATCTTCTTATGCACCAAGAGCTTGTAACACTCCAAAGAGAAAGGAACAATTGAAATCGCATCATATGACCCCTTTAAAAAGTTAGTCATCTAATTAGTTTATTTCAAGACTTGTCACGATTTTTTTAAGTCAGTTACAAAAAGGTTGGCCCAGTTTGAATTAGAAAAGTAAGACTGATTACTCTTGGCTAACTGCTAGTTGGTCAAATTAGTTCTTAAGACACATGCTGCGTCCCAATTCGCATACTATCTCTCCTAAATAGTATTCAGAATTAGAATTAGTATGTCCCAAATCGTAGTATGTTGAAATGAGTATTCCAAAGGTACCCGGATGGTTTACTGCTTCCGGTAGAAATTCGAAGTGCAGATTCGTGCACACTCCAACGGCTAATATTGGCCACAACACATTGCACGGTGGGCGAGGATTCGATTAGAACTACAAACACGCATGAAAAGTGTTTAAAAAAAAACTACAAACATGGCGGATATGCGAGACCGACAGACAGGTAGAGAAAGGGGTTTGAGTGATAAATAATCAATATATAACCTGTTGAAAAAAATATTTATTTAATGTTATCCGCATTATATTTCATCTGCAGCAACACTGTGAACTTTATAATGATACGTTTGGTCATTAACTTTTAAATGAATCATTATGCAAACAAATAAGCAGAGTTCTCGGCATGATTGATCCGCAACTGGCAGATCAACGTGCCTCTTCATTTCTCTCCCAATACGGTAGGAAATTAAATTAAACTAAATATGGATCATGTTAACTGTGACAAGATGATTGACAGTGCAGTTTAAATGGTGACAGGATGTATGTAACTAACTAAGCAGCGTCCGTTAAAGACGCAGTTATGACGAAGTAGTATGTCCCAAAGCTTGCCTAATATTCTGCTACATACTCAAAAGTATGTACTTTTTCTTCACAAAAAGAGTACATACTTTTAGGGCATAGTATAAGTAGGCGAATTGGGATTCAGCAACAGTGTTAACATAGAGGCTATGTTTATGCAACTGGCCCCAGAATACCCTACCAACAGTGTTGGGAAGGTTACTTTGGAAATGTAATAGGTTACAGATTACAAGTTACCCAACTTAAAATGTAATAAGTAGTGTAACTTTTCAAGGGACATGCCCCAAAATGAGTCGCTGTGAACAGAGCAAGGTAAAAGGGTGTGGTTTTACACGCCCACTGAAGAATTTGATTACAATTACTTTTATTTTGTAATTAAATTACGTAATTCTGTTAAATGTAACTAGTTACTCCCCAACACTGCCTACCAACCTCATGGAGCATCTTAGCTATGCATAGCAACGCCCTGGCAACCACCCACAACACCTTCACAGGCACTCTACTTAAGCCTATTCTAAAGTTCAGGTTTCTTAGAGGTCTGCGGTCTTTAACATCTGCTCCCTTTCATTGAGAATGGCATCTGGCGTATGTGTACAATGTGTTGTGTATTTCCTCTCTCCGCCCAACCTGCTTACATGCCGCCAATTCTTCTGCTGGCTCTCCAAATGGATCGGTATGTGCCGACCCAATCAGCTTGTTGTGGATTTGTTTAATTTTAGGCAATTAGCATAATTAAGGGCTTATGGGGAAATGTGGTAATTGCATTTTTGGTGAAGGGGACATGTTTTGATAATGGCTCATTAGGCATGGGTGCATCGGCAGATGTTTAACGACCCATTGAGAGGTGCTCGCTTAAGGCCGCACCGTCGGAGCGACATGCTTCCAAGACTCCTCTTTTTTTATTACAGAGGTCACTTTAATTTCTCACCGTTTTGGTAATAGTCCACTTAATTTTTGTTAATTATTTGGTATGACGTCTTTATGGTCTGTCTGTGCTGCTTCTGTTTTGTTTAGTCTTTGACAGTAAATGATGCTGTGAGCACCACAAAGAACCAGTTGTGTGTTGTATGAAAAATATTTTTTTTCTCTTTGTGTTTACATTACTAGGCTTGGATTAGGTGATATAAGCAAACATTTCTATCACGCTATTCTCAGATGGCTTGCTAAGAATAGATTCTCTAGTATACACTCATTTCAAATCAATTAAATGAAATAAATAGAAAAGGTCACATTTTTGTAGATTTATTCAGTCAAATACATTTGACTTTTTTTGACAAATACATAAATTTGAATTTTTTTATCCATTTAATTTTCTTCTCTTCAGTTTATTATTAAAAAGATTGGAATGTCCATTTGCATACCTGCAAACTCGTCACCTTTCGGGAAAAATTCTGTTTTGACATTGAAATAGGCCGTTCACATGATTCGTGACACACAAAAATCCTTGGATTTGCACAAATGGCTTTATATGAATGAATCTCTGAAGGGAACTGACTGTTTTATAGCATTTTCTGTTAATCTTACCTCAATATAATACCTAAAAGTAGTGTTTATAAGTGCAGTGTTGTTTCAAAACCACATTGCTACCAAAACAATGTGTAGTTCAATTCAAACATCAGAATTTTGCAAAGACAAGTAGGAACCAGTCATTACACCAATTAGGTTAATTCATTTTTATTTATTTTTTTGATTTGTTTGTTTTGGCCATTAAATGTTGATGATTAACTGTTTGATATTTGGACATTTCAAGATTATTGCAAGATCATTAGCATTAACAGAAGTCATCGTTCCGCCTTTCAGCTCCAGAATGCTCTCTGCTGTCTAGATATCTGAATCAGAACTGACTCATACCGGTCGAGTACTAGAAACAGTTTCTACAGCTTATTGTTTCAGCATCTCCGCCTGAATATAAAAGCCTTTACAGGATTGACAGCTAGTAGTAGCACCTCTCTGAACCCACTGCTCTGATATACAGTTTTCCTCGTGTACAACATTAAGCTAATTATTGCTACCGGTGCTTCAACATTTAAATTACATATTAATCAGACTCTCAGCACCCATGTAGTTCATGTTCCTACGGTCCCAAAAAATAGCTTCCGAAAAATGCATTTCCTACAAATGTATATATACTTTTATGTAAAATGAAAATCTGTCCAATTTTCTGGCTAAAGTCAATTTGTTTAAATGATTGAAACATAATGAACCCAGTTTCTGTAGCTCATTTGACTTCAGATGGAAAATACCCAAAATAATTTCAGTTGTTATGTACTAAAATAAATGTACAGTCTTTCTGGAATTATTGTTGATCACTAGGATCGTGCATGTTTGTGAGATTGAGTCATATTTATTGATGCCCACGGTACTTTTACGTTGTCTTTCTAAGAATTTGTTTTTCATTTGTTATTCAGTACATATGCACTGTGAAAATGATTATCTGTGATTGTTTTTTTTCCCTGACGTGCAGCCCTCATGATGTTTCTGACTAATGTTGACAGTATTTTGTTGGTTTGCGTGTCAGATTTATTAATGTGTTTTGCCTCTGGTTGGTCATAGCTTCGTCACTTGGGAAACGATGAAGTGCACATCGTGTGGTCGGAGCACACGCGGGATTACAGACGAGGAATCATTCCCACCGACTTCGGAGATGTCCTCATCATTATCTACCCAATAAAAAACCACATGTTCTTTGTTCAGATCATGAAAAAAACCCAGGTACGTCCCTCGTCATGAAGACAATGACATTACGTTACATTAAAAACCACAACCATCCACCATAACTCACCAGATTTTCATATATTACGTGAAATGCCTCTCCCGAGGCGTCTCAAGATCTTCATCAGGATGTGCGATGTTTCGCTGATTGTCAGGAGATGTAGATTGTGGCTGGAAGTGCTGTATGGTATCTCTTCCTGTCTGTTCTCTGAAAGCACTAATGCTGGAAGTCCATTACTGCACTGTCGGCACGCCACTCTCATCGCGGTCAAGCTGCCTTTCATCTTCCTCCTCCTGCGTCTGCCACTAGATCCCCAGAGAAACCGAGCGTGCATCATTTGTAATTTCTCGCAAACACGTCACCTCTACGAGACTTGGCTGCTGTGTGTTGAGTGGCCTGGATGCTGTCAGATGTATGGCTCCTGCAACATGTCACCAGCTGCAATTAGTGAAATTCCCTCAGCTGTGTCACTGCTATCTGCTGTTCCACTCAAATAACTCTCATTTCATCCACTCGAGAAACGCAAGCCTTGGCAAATGGAAATGCTACATTATCCATCCACTAGATTCAGCTGTCCCACGTATTGATTTTTTTTTTTCCAGTCTGTTTGTGGCGTACATTTATCACATGCAACATCGGGTTGAGAGCTCATGTAAATCGATTTAACATTTAAAACTTAAAAAAAAAAAAAAAATCCCGTACACGTATCGCATGCAACATGGGGTTGAGAATTCATGTAAATTGATTTTGCATTTAAAACTTCAAACGATATTTCTTAATTATTTGCTCTGTCTCAACCAGGTTCCTTTCTTTGGGCCTCTGTTCGACGGGGCGATAGTGACTGGAACGCTGTTGCCGAGTCTGGTGCGGGCCACGTGCATCAATGCCAGCAGGGCTGTGAAGTCTCGACTGCCACTTTACCAGAGTTTGTATCCTTCACGTTTACGGTTGGTAACCAGTGAACTGAGAGATCACAGCGTTCCAATATCTGTATGTGATTTAGTGCTAACTTTCTGCTTTTAGGTAGAGCAGACTTTAATGGCGCTTTTCCACTGCGTCGGTACGGCCCAGTACGGCACGGCACGGCTCGGTTTGCGTTTCCACTGCAGTTTAGTACCGCTTTAGAGTTGGCAGGATTATTCACAAGTCGTTATAGTTGCGCCGCCTCTACTGCCGCGACTCCTAAAAAAACGTTTTCATTCCGCGTCGCCCCATCAAGCTCTCGCTGGATCCGCTCCTCTGCGATCAACGAGAGGAACGTCCGTACTTCCTCAACAGTGCAGAGTTTACACGTCACGTTTTGGTAACGGTACGGTTCACTTGGAACCCCAACCGAGGTGGTACTAAAAAAAGTACCAGGTACTGTACCCAGTGGAAAAACCATGCAGTGGAAAAGCGCCATAAGTGTGTCCCATTCCACTCTGTAGTTGCCTATGCCGTGAATCTTTATAGTGAACATGACTTCCACTTAACATTGGGACACTGATATCTCAGTGATATGCGATACGATTAATGAGGTTGTTTGTTAATATGTAGCTAGTGTGTATCGATACACTGCTTATAACACGGCACAAGCGATTCTTTTTTGCCATTGTGTGTTGTTCTTTGTTGTTACTGTTAAAAGTACAGCTTGTCCATTTCTGACAAAGACAGGGCGTCATTTTCCGGTAAGTAAATGGTGTACAGTATACTGGGAATTTTTAGGGAGCAGAAGATTCAATGCACTGGCCTTAGAAATGCATATTTTCTACTGAACCAGGGAGCAGAGAAACTATGCTACCGTCCATAGTTTCATACCGTCCATAGTGGGTCTGATTCAGTTTGTGGGTCTGATTCAGTTTGAGTGTAAGTGAGGAAAACGGTTGCCTGGCGACATAAATTTCACAGATTAGCGGTCAATTTTGACCAGTCAGGTATTCCTATAGCACTGTGTATTAAGTTTATTTAACACTTGTAGCGCTATGTGGAACACATCATAAGTAGATATTGCCACATCATGCCTGATTTTTAATTCTGCTCTCCTGTCTGCAGTGATATTGCGTCAGTGTGATCATTATTGTGAGTGGGGGTGTGTGTGACTGTTAATTGTCTCTGGTGAACAGGGTGTGAAGGCCATTAAGGATATTCTGTTTTCACAGCTTCCTGCAATGACTTGATCTGTCTCTATGAATAATTGATCTGCTTTTTGGGTTCTGCTTCTACTTTTAGGGAGCAGAAGATTCAATGCACTGGCCTTAGAAATGCATATTTTCTACTGAACCAGGGAGCAGAGAAACTATGCTACCGTCCATAGTTTCATACCGTCCATAGTGGGTCTGATTCAGTTTGTGGGTCTGATTCAGTTTGAGTGTAAGTGAGGAAAACGGTTGCCTGGCGACATAAATTTCACAGATTAGCGGTCAATTTTGACCAGTCAGGTATTCCTATAGCACTGTGTATTAAGTTTATTTAACACTTGTAGCGCTATGTGGAACACATCATAAGTAGATATTGCCACATCATGCCTGATTTTTAATTCTGCTCTCCTGTCTGCAGTGATATTGCGTCAGTGTGATCATTATTGTGAGTGGGGGTGTGTGTGACTGTTAATTGTCTCTGGTGAACAGGGTGTGAAGGCCATTAAGGATATTCTGTTTTCACAGCTTCCTGCAATGACTTGATCTGTCTCTATGAATAATTGATCTGCTTTTTGGGTGCTGCTTCTACACCACCGTCTCTTATCTGTCCGTCACAAGAACATCTGCTCGACAGTCACCTCTTACATTCACACAAAAGTGCATTCTCTGTGTGTGTGTTTCTCTCGCTCACTCGTTCTCTGTCTTTTTCTGCCTCTGTTTGTCTTTCCATTGTTCATCCCATCTCTTTGTCCAAGTTCACAACACAGGCCTGATTCCAAATCATTTGGTTGTTGTTGTTGTTGGTTTGAGGTTGTGACATATTAAGTTTGCCCCATGTCAGACAGTGGCCTGAACAGACGGTGCTCCTAAATTGAGCCACATACATAAGACAACAGTGATTAATTATGAGGGTAAAGAAACAGGGCAATTTTGTCAAGTCGGCACTAAATGAATATTCACCTTATCTATTTTTTAAATGCAATAATCGCATTAACGTTATTAAACCTATTGTCAGTAAACCATGCATATATATTTTTAATCAAAATGTTTCAATCTTCCGGTGAAATGACAGACTAGTGTTAATTTAGTATTAATTATTTAGTATAATTTTTTTTATTAATATTTTAATTTAGCTTTTATTTTTATTTTTTCAGTTTTCATTGTCGTTTAATTTTTTGAAATTTTCTTACGTGCTTTTGTCAATTTTATTGGTCTTTGTTTTTAGTATTTCTAAATAGTTAAAATTTTTTGTTTCAATTCTGGATTTATTTCAGTTCATAATTTTTGTATTTGAGCTTTTATTTCAGTTCGTTGCAAAGGCAACATTTCTCATTTAAATTTTTTTTAGCTAACGATAAAATTGAAACAGACGTCTATTGGCTCCTCCAATCATTTAGTTTGCTTAAACCCCTTCCCTTTCTTACAGTCGATTGCAAACTCGCATTCAGACCTGCCTCCCACATCTCAAAATCAAATCAACAATCGATGAGTAGAACCAACTCCCGCCAGGGCTCTAAAAAAAAAAAATCGAATTTCGAATATTCGTCGAATTTCAAATAAAAATCCACATTCGAATGCAAAAACGTTGCATTCGAATTTTAGGTGTGCATTAAGAAGGCAGCCTTATCAGTGGTGCACGAGATGCGATGACAATGTAAGTGTCGTTGCATTATAATGTTTTTGTTAGCCTATCCAGTTGAAGCCACTAGATGCGGCGCTGCTGCGTTGTTCATTAAAAATATTGCGGAAAAAGAGAACATCAATGCAGAGAAGATCTTGTTTACATCAAAACTGAAACCAAGCCATTCACACAGAACCCATATTTTGCGAATTTTGCACACATCTATCACCGTTGCACTCGCGTCTTGCACAAAAGAGCCACGTGTTTAGAAAGCCATGTAAAATTAATGCAAGTTTAACTTTGAAAAAAACATATCTCGAGACTTTATGGCGGGTTTTTTTTCCTCATCCCACTGCATCTCATGTTTTTAAATGAAAAATGTACTCTGTATGATTGGCTTTCCGCCCTTTGTATTAAACTATGCATACATACATGATGCTGTTTTGTTTATAGTTGTTTAAGCAACTTAATTATAATTGGTTTATAAACATTATTTTAAACATTATGCACTTTTTTTCACAGATAGTCATGTTATCTTATGCTTTGAATAAACATGCATTAGTAATATTTTGCTCGATGCGCCCTCTTTGTGGCCTCCGGAGAGAAGCCAAAAGCTTTTCTTCACCCTAACTGAAATTATGCATTTTAAATTTGAATATAATTCGAATTGTGATAATATTTAAGTACAAAATTCGAATTTAGTTTTTGAGCCATTTTGACAGCCCTAACTCCCGCCCTGCATGTTCTCTTACTCTTATGTGCATACAATACAAAATGAAAAATCTGTCGCTACTTCCATTTCATCATGCACTTCAGCATTATTGTGTTTAATAACTTCAGGATGTCTAGAGCAACCTTGGACTATATATATGTCTGGCTCTCAAAGGCAAACGACTGAAGATTGCATCAGTTTCATCCTGACTGTTCACACTGAAGTCACATTATGAAAAATCTGATACATATCAAGTTTCTTTCCACATATGAAAGCAGCCCAGATTGAGTGTGACTTTAACCGTTTACACTCTCATCCAAAATCAGATCTGCATCACACATCAGGGGGGCAAAAACACAGCAGTATGAATGTAGTCCTCTTTCTTCTCTCTCTTAGAATCTGTCGCTTCCCTTCAGGACAATGACCTTGCCTCGCAGTCTGAAAGATGTCTGTTTTTATGTGGAGATGAAATCTCCTCTGGAGTTTTCTGCTTCACAATGGTTGGGGTCCCTGCAATCTTCCTGCTTGTTGTGCATGGTGCTCCAGCGTAATTAGTTGAATATTTCTTCAAAGCGAGTCCTCGTGCTCCCTGCACAGGCTGATAAAAGCAGGTGTCTCTCTCTGGCCCTGCCGCAGAGATGGAGGGGCCTCCAGCGGGCTACACCATCACTCAGCTCTAATTGGATGGGTTTTGGTGAAATGACCACCAGCGCTTGGCATGGGGCACTGCAGTCCACCCCCGTGCCCTGCGTTGTCCCACACCCTTGCCTTCTATTGTCCGTGTATGCAGGTGAATGTTCGGAGCTAATCTATGGATCTCTATCCCGCCCGGCTCTGGGATTATGCTTTTCCAAAGGGCTTAGCTTGAATGGAGAGTCCCTCTCCTGCTGACACCTTTCACATTGCGCATAATGTGTCGTGATTATTGATTCATCAGCTGCTGCGAGTTTGAAGTGGTCCATGCTGAAACCCAGTGCAGGGAAACTTAGGATATATTACAAGATCAATAAATGAAGAAAATTCATCTTCAGCTGATACATGAGCCATTTGTTCCTTCATGTTCTCACTTTTGTTGGCATTCTTTATATTGCTTAGGAGCAGATTGGGCTCTCTTGAAGGGATTGTTCACCCACAAATGAGAATTCAGTCGTTATTTACTCACCCTGGTGTTCTAATGCCATATGACCTTCATTCTTTTTCACACCACAATGGAGAGATTAAAAAATGTCCCGCTCGCTCTCATCAATATAATGGAAGTGAATAGTGACAAGCATTCAAGCCTTAAAAAATTTGCTTTAAGCCAGCTGATTTTATTTTTTGTCTACAACTGTTTACATTATTTACATTATCACTACAACTGAAGGGAGTTGGTGCATATGACCATGTTTGTTAGCTGCTGAACATTTACAACTCCCTGTGACATTTTTGGTGTTCAGTGCGATTACATTGCCATTGTCTTTATTTTCGCAGAGATTCACTCTCTGATGGTGCTTATAGAAAAGCAGAAGTGTCCTGGTTCCTCTGGGACACAAATCGCTTCGTAACTTTCTGTTTCTGTTTCTGTTCCGACACTTGCT